GTGTGTGTGTGTGTGTGTGTGTGTGTGTGTGTGTGTGTGTGTGTGTGGTTTTTTTGGGGGGACTTAATTTCTTTATTACTTTATTACAAGTTAAACTCCACTACAGATCAAACTATGTACCAAGTATATTTAGAAAATACTTTAGTTGAGTGAGATGATTCATTTTTGTATATTTGGCAAAATCAAGGCCCTTTGAAGCCACTGGGAGCATATTAGCTCATGGAGAATGAAACAGTAACAACAGGGCCTACACAGATGTGCACCAGGTTGTAAATGTCCTTATTTCCTCAGATGATGGGACGAGACGAGATCCATACCGTAGCTCTATGAATACATGGTTTCTGATCAAAGGTTTGTTTGTCATTGTTTGGGATGAAAGGTATGTACCAAGGGTGGGTCTGTATGCCAGGCTAATTAAACAAACCTTGGTCTTTGGATGTGATCCTTTGTCAGAGTAGCCATGTTGCTGGATTAAACTTTCCCTATTCCAGGTGATCTAACATATATTACAGCTATTAGCTTGGCATTTTTATAGGACTCTTGAGTGTGACAGCAGTCTGTCTCTGACATTTGTGCCTTTCTTGGGATAATTTTCCTTCTGTTTTGTGACCATGTCCACCTTTGATATGATAACTTTTGCTTCATCTTATCTTTATTTTGTCATGTTAAAAATAAAGTTTTATTATATATATATTAATTGTTTATCTGGATATTTATTTATTTTAATGTTACTTTTTAAAATTGTTTTTATTTTATTTTTAATAAAGTGTGTGTGTTTTTATCTGATTATAATGTTTTCTTTCTTTCTGGGTGATGTTTTATTTTGTTTTCTCTGTTTTGTTTTGATTTTTTGGAGCGGTTGTTGCTGTATTGGGTTTCTGTTTGTTTGTTTATTTGTTTGAGAAAGAACCTAAAGTTGGGGGTAGAGAATCTAGAAGGACCTGGGGAAAGCGAAGAATATGATCAAACTATATTTAAATTTTAAAATTATTTTTGAATAATAAAAGATGTAATTTAAAAACTGTAGATATAAAAAATAGCCAAGGGGAACCTAAGTTTGCAAAAGATCAAATAAATAGGAAGTGGAAAAGGCAGAATTCAAGCCTAAGCCCACTACACCAGAAAATATGCTGTTAACCTCTAAAAAACATTCCCGCCCTTCTGCTGCTTTCCTTCCCACCAACTCTAGCAAACTCCCCTCCCTACCAAGTCTCCAAAATTGACTCTCTGTTCTTCTAGCACAGCTTCCTGATCAGATGATATACCTGAGATCCCCTTCTCTGATTGCAACCAGTGCTTCCTGATATCAGAATCCAGACCTGATCTGACACTAAGTGTGGCACTAAAAAGATTACCAAACTCCTTTGACTCTTTCTATCCTTCTCTACAAGTTGTTCATTAATTCACTAACTTCACAGGGCCAGTGAAGACAAGAATACTGACATCATATACATCAGTATGCCAAGTTTCAATATTTAATTATCATAATAATAAAATGTTCAGAATCATCAAAAAAGTGTACAAGATAAGCTGTCTGAGAATGAAGATTTTGGAAAGCATAACTACTTTCTTCCAGAGCAATATTATCAACTTTAGGAAGGTCAAATTTTGAAGACAAATGAAGAAAATTCTTTCCCATCCCATGGAGATACAATGTTTTTATTACCTAGACAATAATTTAGAAGCATGAACAACAAAACCAAAAAATTTTCCATCACACTGTTTCAGTGTGTTCTATTACCTTCTATTCACTGAGATCCTTCAAAAGTTCTCCAAATATTTGTATATTACAAATATTTACTTTTATAACTTACACACTCCTATTTTTAATGTGCAATAAATGGTATGAAATATTTGTTCCTTTAATGTTGCTTTAACTATTGATATCTAATGAGCACAAGCAGAATGTGAGGTGACTTTCTTCCAGACTAACCCTGAGATATGATATTATTTCCATCTGAGGGTAAAAGCAGCAAATCACTCCTGGGTAGATGGAAAAAAAATGTGAGTGTTCAATTTAATCAACAAAAATAATACCTTCATCATAACTGAAATGTAGAAAATTTTAAATTCAGGCTTTATCTCACATGTAAAGGGTTCTATGAAATTCTAAGAGTCACCCACGAAGCTAGGACTGCTCAGAGATAGGCCACATGTCAAACCACGATTTCAGCAAAGAGCTAAACCTAGGAGCCATAGTTGTTAAAATTATTTCAAGACTACTTTTAAAAGAAAGTCCAGTTCTGGGGCTGGAGAACTGGCTGCTCTTCCAGACAACCTGGGTTTGATTCCCAGCACCCACATTGGGCACCTCATAAACACCTGCAATTCCGGTTCTAGGGGATACAACACCCTCTTCTAGCTTCTTTGGCACCAGAAAAACATGTGATGCACTGAAATACATGCAGACAAAACACCCATAAACATAAAATACATTTTTTTTAAGTTCAGTGAATTGTGAAAGCAATGCTTTTCTGTGAAGAAGGAAAAAAAATGTCATCAGAACTATTTATGGGATAGGAAATAGCAGTAGCGGTGATTAGAAAGGGCTGTAATAAAAATATGTATCTCAAAACACTGGGACAAAAAAAGAATTATTACTATTCCTCATCAGTAACTCACTGCCAATATACAGTCCAATGCATAATAAATTATAGAGTCATGCATATATGCACTTAATTTGCCAAAACAGTCATAAAGTTTAATGAAGTTAACGCTCAGCAGGCAGATTTATGTCTATCCATCTAATATAAATGATGAAAATAAAAAAAAATATTTAACAACAAACATGATGCATTCACCATTAGAACGTGTCTACTAATTGTAAAATATTCAGTTTGGTGAATTATTTCCATTTGCTTTACGATGTCTACTCAGCTTTCTGACACTTCCTGTATTTGGGATCTGCATTAAATCTTGAAATAAGTATGGCAAACTCAGGCTCATATATAGTCAGGGAATTAATCAAAAGTTGGTACTTTCTGGCACCACAAGATTTAATTGCTTGGACTTGGGTTCATAGACATAAGGCCAGTAAAACATGCCAAAAATAAACACACACACACACACACACACACACACACACAATAAATTTAGCACTTACTGCCTTGAGGTCTTCATTAACATGAGTATCATTCATTATGAACTCTGGATAGCCAACTTTTGCCAAAACAGCTCTTGCCTGTAAAAAGAAAAATGGGAAATATGATGTCAGAGTTTTCTCACTTAAACCATTAATAATCACTGGATATTGGGCTTTAGTCTTCATCTGTAAACTCCATTGACTGGATATCTTCTATATACAAGCCACTGTAAGAGAAAAATACTTACTTCCTGTCCTCAGTGTGCTACAAATATAATGAATATAACAAATAACTTTTATAAGCATAAAGATTTTAATGGAAATGGAGAGCATTGTTATTAAAATCTGTAAGAAAGACCTTTATCTCACTGGGAAAATACAAGTCTGAGAGAATAGTCACCATTTCAAAAATACAGAGCAGAGAGGAAGAATCTGGAAATGGAAACAATGAATAGACCATAACAGACTGCAAGCATACCTGATAAATATGAATGTCTGAAATAACATTTTAAAAATCTAAATTATTAAATAGCAAAAAAGAAGTTTTTTAAAGAACCCGAAAATTTGTTTTGCATACATACTTGAGCAGCAGGTATGTAAAAGGGAATATTTTAACATCACTAATCATTGGAGAAATGTAAATTAAAACCACAAGACATTTTATCTGCCCTGTGGTAAGCTGGCTATTATAAAGAAGAGTTGGTGGGGATCTGGAAAACTAAAGAACCTTCACACTGTTGGTGTAGCCACTGTGGAAAATAGACTGCTCAAAAGACTAAAACCAGCAGTTCCTCTAATGGGTTGAGCCATATATAATTGGTACCCAAAGAAAATGAAATCAGTATATCAAAGAGCCATTTTCCGTCCCATGCTCATTGCAGCACTATGCAGTAGCCAAGAAATAGAAATGACCTACTGATTGATGAATACGGATCAAGTGTAGTATACACAGACACACGTACACACAATGAGATAATATTCAGGCACAAAGGGGTTATAAAATCAGAGATCACTGTGGAAGCCGAAATAAACTGCAGAAAGAGAAGCCCTGCTGAAAGATTTAAAGCAGTGGTGAAGCAGACCTGTGAAGTGACCTGAGCCCTGATGCAAAGCTCAGAAGCTCGTGTTTGTAGACAAACTCCAAGTCCACATGGATCCACATGGTCAGTTGCGTGTATATGTTTTTAATGCTTTCACCACAAGAAGTGATAAATGTAAGGTAATAAATATGCTGATTGATTTCAATTAGGCATTCTACAATGCATATCTTTTGGCCAAACATCCTGGTGTGATTCATGAATATGTAAAAAGTTATCCCACAATTTAAATAAATTAGGAAGCTCGTGGATCATCCATGGAAGTTCTGTGCTGCCATGCGAACAAGTATTTTTTGTTGTTGTTATTCAGATAAGTGAGGGTTAAATATTTCCAAGAGGAGTGAAAAGAGATGAGTCATGCATCAGGATGATTATCCACGCAGCTCTGTAAGTGATATCCAAAACACCAGAAAGATCAGAGGCAGGGGGTCCAGAATAATTTAAAATGCATCACATCATAGTCATCCACTTGATAGACAGAAGTACTAATGATTATCTTCTTTGCTTTGCAGCATGCAAGGAATATATAAAGGAAAAATCAGTGAGAGTACCAGTCTAGAGCAATGACTAGCAAACTGGCTCCAGGACCAATGTCAGCCCTCCTCTTCTACCTGCTTTCGTAAATAAAATTATGCTGGAACACAGACACACTCATTCATTTACCTATTATATATACCTGCCTCCGTGATACAACTTCTGAGCTGAGTGGCTGAATAAAAACTCTGGGACTAACGAAGTCTCAAATATTTCATCTGGACCTATGGAAGAAAGTTTCCTAGCCTTTGTTCTAGAGAAACTTTGCAGCTTCCCTCTGAAATCTTCTCTTCCCATGTCCCCAGATTCAGGGTTGCATAAAACAAAATAATAAAATAAAAAATAAAGTAAAATAAAATAAAAGCAGCCCACAATGGTGTTGCAAGTACATTGTCTGGGCTCTACCCACATTCTCTGGGATGACTTTCATCACTTGTGGATAGATAGCCCTCCCCAGATTCTTTTATTTATTTATATATTATTTGTTTTTAATTGAAACAGAATTATATCATTTCCCCCCTCCAGTCCCTCCCTGCAGCTCTCCCTTGAACTCCTCCTTTCCTTTCATGCCTCCCACATTCTCAAGTTGATAGCCTACACACACACACACACACACACACACACACACACACACACACAGATGAAGACATTTTTGGTGGTGGTGTATATGTGGTTTAAGCAGTATTCAGGTTTATTACTTGGAGAAGCTAATTCTCCTTCTCCCAGCATTCATTAGTTATCTGTAAATATTTGTCTAATGATGGAATCCTGCAAATATTTTTTCCCTTCCACATTGATATTACCATTGTTCTGGTCTTGTTTCTGAAGCCAGTGCTAGAGTCTTGTCTTTTCTAATTGACAGCACAAGAGACTTTGAAGGCCTACATATAACCACAACTTGCTCTGCGTTCTTAATCTAACTTCTGTCATTCTGACCTCTCCCTCCATACATGCAACTCTTAGCCATTGACAGTGGCAGGATCATGAAAGCCCAGCACCTTCACTTCAATTCAGTACCAGCTCAGGGGTATAATTTACACTAGCAAAGTTCCTCCCAGGATCAGACTATTTTGCAAACATCTTCTGAGATTGAATCCTTCCCTTAGATCATCCCTGTCTTAGTCTAGTTTCTCCCATTCCCCTGCAGCTTTCATTTGTAAGTATTTGCTAAATAAATCACTTGCACATGAGTCCGTATTTCCAGGTCTGCCTTCAGATGAGCCAAGAAAAAACTCAGGCAGCCCCAAACCCATTGGTGGTATTACAGCAAAGCGTCGATGCAAAACCAGTGACTGGCTTCCAACACTGTTCTCAAGGATGACATTTCTTCTATAATATCTTCTAAATCACCCCACTCAAGGAATAAAGAGAGTAAGATAGGACCTCTTCAGTGTTTTCTTTGAGATAATATAAATATTAAATACCATCAGAAACTTCCAACCCATGATTTAGGATTTTACAAGTGCTGCAGGACACAGACCTAATAGGTTTTGCTGTTCCAGGGACTCACAAATAATACAGATCAAATTCTGCCTTCAAAAGCTCATGAGCTAAACTAAAAGCTTGATATGATAACAGGGTGTTATAGCTCTCCCAAGACCACAAAACAATATGTCATGTATCTGTAGGTTACCTCTTTCTGAAAGTGCTTGCTTTCCTAGTTGTTGTTAATTCCTCAGTATAGTGTAATTTCTCAGTGTAGTGATTCATCATAAGTCATATGCATCATTTTAGCAAATAAAGGCTTGTACATAGTTTTCTCCAGCACACATACCCAAAAATGTACAAGACAAGCTGAGTCATGCACAGTTGTTTTCTGAACACTAGCCTTTTCAAAGCATACCAGTGAATTATGCATTCTTTTTCAAACCTCATGATCTGGGACCTCACTGCACTACAAAGTTTCAAAGAATACATTAACTCCTGTGCTGCATGTGTGTAGTACTGAATCCTTATTTAGTTACATCACTACAACTTGAAGAGTCAGAAAATAGAGAGAATCAGATTTTTCTACCAAAGATACACAAATAAAATGAGGTAGTGATTCTAATAGCAGACTGTTAACAGCCCAGTAAAACATTCTTTTGCTCGAAATGTATATGGATACTTATATTCTGATTCAAATTCTCTTGTTTTCCCCAAGTTTGTTGTGGATTTCACACCATTCCAGCCCAGCACATTTTACATTTTTCCCCCCAAGAAGCTTCAGAACCACATTGCTCAAGACTCTAGATCATGACTCTAGATCAGACTGTCAAGAAGAAATACTCATAGGGCCTTGGAAGGGAGAAGAGATGGAGATGTCATTTACTCACTGTAGCAGCAATAGTGAGGCCCATGGGCATCTGCAGACAATAGATAAAACACTTTCCCATCCAATTCCAAGCATTCTCCTGGGAAGAACCCTTTGGTGTACAAGCAGCAGTGACCACTGGCAGCCTTGGCCTTTACTTTGTGACCTTGAAATGCTTATATAACCCCTCTAATCATTCACCTTAAACATTTTCCTGCTTGATACAGTTAGAAATGTGTCCGCTCTCCTGGGTACAGACTAAGGCAAATAGTGACACATCACTTTCCAACGTATTTACAATAAGAAAAATGATCCACCAATAGTTGGTTTGTTGAAGGGCAAGATATAAGTAAGAACTGTTTGAAATCAATTATCCCACTGGTTATGACAAGAGGGAAAAGCAAGTCACCACACAAATACTGAGGAAATAATGGGATGAATATTTAACAGATGGCATATGAGATACAGAGAGAAACATTTTCCAGGCTATTTGAAAAGAGGCTGATAAAAAAAGAAGAAGAACCTAAGGGTTTGCTATAACTAGTTATTTCCATCCATTATTTTGTGCACACATCTGGAGAGAATCTGCATTTGACAGCTGGTCATCCCTCCCCTGTGGAAGAGAAATAGGCAGATGATGATCTTCATTACATCTGTGTCTATAACTAAGTATTTCTCTTTCAAAGTGAAAATGGCCTAGAGGCTCATATATATTGATCCATTCTACCATCATTCTCTTATGGTAGACCCAGTTCTACTCAGGATGAAAGTAAACTGAACAAAATATTAATCCACAGATCACTTAACAGCTGGATTTGAGTATAGGATAAGATTTAGGTCAATGGCATACAAATTAAACTGCTTTGTGCATTTCTGGCTGGGGCATGCTTCTGGCCTTTAGTCCAGGGCTTCTCAACTTCAGCAGTATTGACACTGAGGCCAAATAACACTTGTGAGGGTTTGTCCTGTAAGTTCCTTGATATTTAGCAGCACCATTGTCTTGAGCAAACTAAACACCAGTTGCAATCCCCTCATAAGCTGTAACAACCAGAACTGTAGAGATGTCAAATACCCATGGGAGAGGTGAAAAAGCACCAGCAGTTAAGAATCTCTGGAGTGCTAAAGCAATGCCAGTGGTAGAGCAGCTAGCTTTCAAGTAGAAGGCAACAAACAAG